TGAGGAAAACGGGCATCCGAGCGCTGGATAAGTGTGCACCATTCCCACTTAGAAGTTCACTTATTTATAAATACACCCTTCAAAAACAAGCGTAACTGCTTGAAGCGCTGGAAGGACACGTGCAGCGGTAGCTTTGCCGTCTGTATCTGCGATGGTTTTCTTGGTGCAGCAAGACAGCAGCGATGGGTTGTGCAGCCTGTGCACACGCTTGAGCAGCTGTTTCAGGGATTATTTGTGGCTTATCTGATCCCCAGGAACTATCAGAATTCTGGATGCACAAGCTCGTCTGCATTTTCCAACTCATTTTTCAGTTCTATTTTTTTTTCTTCTGTCTACTCAACATTAAAAAAAATCCTAATAATAGAACTGGAGGAGCTGGTAGAGAATCCCTGAATATTCAGTAGAAAAAAAATATCTAACTTACGACCTTCAGAGAAATGGAGAATGGGCAAGTCTGAACATCCAGCCAGGAGCAGCACAAACCAAGACCAAGTCCTGGTAAGGGCAGAAAAGACGGCACAGAGGAAGCACTGGGAATTCCTTCGTCCTGCTCTAGGATATGATTTAAGCCTTTTGAGAAGCTTACTGAAAATGTTGTGACCCCTTTCTTATTTTCTTGCATGTCATTACAGAGTGATTTTGTAGATTAATTTGGAAGAGCATCCTGCTGCCATATTTTTATTTATTTTAAAAGTAATCCAAAATGTTCCTACTGTATTTTAATATTTTAATGTGCGAGTGCAAGCGCTGCTGTTCCCCTACTGCCTCTTTGCTGAGTGAGGGCTGCGTTTCAGAGACGTGTTTTTATATGAGCAGAATCTGCTCTGGGGTATGTATGATTTAAATGTCCTGTGTTCATTTTGCTTTATTAGAAACAATAGCTTTCCTTTTAGTCTTCTGTTATTCCTAATTTTTGTCCTTATTCCCTAGGAGAGGTAATCTGAAATCACTTAGGCAAGACATTTCTAGGGTTTTGGGGCCTAAATGAGAGGATACACAAGCATCAGTGCAGGTTCCGTTCTCGGTGCGGTTCCCGAAAGGGCGGGAGAAGCCGCCAGGAATTGCAGCAGCTCTGCCTGGCTCGGGCTCGGCTGCGCACGGAGGTTGTCGTCTCTGTCCGTCACTGCACTGAGGGCAATTCCCCTCCACTCCGATGTGCCATATGTTCATACTCTCCTTATGAAGAGTTCTTCATTTGAAGCCTTTTTATAGGCCTTAGGTCGACTGTAACAGAAAGATGTTCCTGCCCCTCCTGCTGCAAAAATCCAGCGCTCCGCAAGGAGCGTCTCCACCGTCCTCCCGCACACGTGCTCCTTGTTGGTCCTTTCCGTTTTCTGGATGATTATATTACTCAGAACTTCTCTCCCAGCGACGTGCAGTAAGCTAAATAATGGAGATGAGCACCTTCGTTTTTGGAAATATTCTTTTTCATTATTTTATATGTTTCAGTAGTTTTAAAAATTTGAAATGTCGCTGATGCCGCTTTGCTGCGTGGCGCAACACAGTCATGCGATTATGTGCCCGTAAAATTGTTTGACGCGTACAGGCCTGTTCTAGACGTCGAGGCGGAGGTTGTTCCAGACGTGCTGAGGACCGTGTTCCATCAAACTGACGGCTGCCCCTAAAACGTGGCCTCTGGGATCCTTCGCGGGCACCGCGTCAGCTCCGAGGCCGAATCCCACGTTCGTGACGTCCATCCCTCATGGATCGCCCGGAGCCCCAAGCAGGGCTGTTGGACTCCAAGCGTTGGCCTGAGCCCCTCGTTTGGTGCCAAGCTGAGCACAGACCTTCTGCAAGGACTTTGCCATGTCAGAGCCCAATATTTTGGAACGTTATGAGCGGGTAAACTGTTTCTTTTAATGATTATGTAGTAAATCGCTTTTCTGTTTGTGAGGGCCAGACTTTATCCTCCTCCCTGCAGGGCAGATTGGAGGAGCAGCCTCTTCCCACCTAGGGCACCCTGTGGTGACCATGCCAAGCTCCATGCGTGGTGCCCCCTTACAGCCAATGTCAGCCCTAGCCTGAAGGCTCCTAATGCCTTAACTGGTGATGTGGCCAGTGAAACAATTAGAAAATGAATAGACATAATTTGGTGAGAGATAGTGGGGAAAAAAAACATGGCATGGTGCTGTGGGCTGGTTAGTGCAAAATGCAGCACTGAAGGTGACTCGAGGAGCCTTTGCTCCGGAGTTGGGAGTTTTCCAAGGTCTGTGTGTGCCGCAGGAGCGGGGCTGCATGGGGGCCTGGGCCTGCTGCCTTCCCTGCTCCTGTCCTAGGAAGGAATCTCCGCGTAAGGACTCCTCTATTTCTGCTTTCCCATTTGGGCATTGTTCCAAAAACATTCTCTTGGAATAATTAGATTGCTTTTAATCCTTTTAATTAAATCATATGAAGTAGGCTGGCTGCGTGCATGGTGGAGCGAGGTTTACTGCACCTTGTTTTGGAGCTGGGATTCAGCCCTGGCCAAGCTGTGCTCTCCCCATTTACACCAGGGTTCACCTTGAGCCGAGAGCAGCTTTGGAGAATGTGGTGGAAATGGTTGTTGTAAATGACGGCGGGAAAGAACTGGGATTTGTTAGGAAAAAACTTCTTAAGCAAAAAATGGAAACTCTACTGCCTTCGTTTTGGAGCAGCTGCCACTGGAAGCCTTGGATGCAGGTTAGTCCCTTTGCCAGGAGGGACAGGGATATAGGTGGAATTGAGCCTGTCTTGGGATAGATGGAACTTCACTGGATTGCTTCCTTAAATCCAACCCGGCCTTGGTTTCCACATTTATTTGGGACTAAGCAGTGAGACTGTTTTTCTTATTCTACACTTTGCTGTTTTTGTCCTCTTCATGCCCTGATTGTTCGCTGACAATTTGCTGCTTTTTTCTTTTTGTAGTTGTGAATCTTAAATTTTGTAACTCTGGTGGGAACATAGGTTTCTCCTTACAGTTTCAGCAAGGGAAAGCTTAATCTCCTGGATGAACATTCCCTGGTGTTCCAGCACGCGTCTGCCCTCGACAGAGCTGAGGGGTGACGAATGAGGACGGAAACTTGGCCTGCCTTCCAGATCCTTTTTCTTACCATAGCCCATTAATGGGGCAGGCAACATCAGCAACTTAAAATCGCTTACCCTCCACTTGTCACCTTCAGAGGGCTCCATTTCTTCTTTTTATAGGAGCTAATCCTGAGGTGAGTCCTGACCTCAGCACCTGGCAGGGCTGAGCGCGCTGGAGCCGCAAGGCAGCTCCTGCCACAGGTCCCATCGGCTCCGGTGTCACCAGCCCCTCTTGTCACCGAGTCAGCGGCTGCTGCAGCTCGTGATGTGCTGGGAAAGGGCCTTCTCGCCCGGAGTCCTCCTCGTTGTGTTTGACTTATGTTTTGCCCCCTTCAAAGTAAGAGGAAAATCGGTAATTAGGCAAAGGTTTCAAAGTAGAGCTGTTAATTTAAGCACAGAATCCACAAAACTGTGGGAATTATTTTCTGCAGCCGATAAACCCTGGCATTTCCCAGCAGGGCAGCAATTGATGAGCGCATCGAATTGGATTTTCCCCTCGAGTCACTCTCTCCTTGGAGGGTCACTGCATCCCCTGCTAATCAGCACCCGTGGGGGTTATTTATCCTTTGGGAGAGCTAAGCCCCGATCCCGCTGCCCTCCGTGGCTCCGGCTGCTCCGGCGGCTCCGAGCGTTCCCGCGGCCCTGGATCCCGGCTTTGGGAACCCGGGTTTCCTCCCTCACAGGGGATGGCTTCCGCGCTTCAAAAACAGACACGAATGGAGCAGCCTGCGTGGAAAGCAGCACAACAAACCCTTTAAACTCAGGAAGTTAAATAATTAAAATAGTTTTTTCTTTGCTGTAAAGGAAAGCTGTGCCTATTTTGGAGATCTGGAGTTATCCTTTATCCATTGTAATTGATGTTGTATAAAGTATTCTACCCCAAATTCTGTAGCTAATGATGTCGTTCGGTTGGAATATGTTGTAGTTTAGCTGTAAACGACCAATGTTACAGGCAGCTGCATCGTGGTCCAGACCATCCTTCAATTCCCATAGCAAAATAACCTGCTGTCATTGACAAGGAGCGTTTTTGAAGCTCCTATTGAAGCTCTTAAATAAAAGATTAGCAACATAAGTATTTCAGTAAGAATTGTAATTTTCTTGTTTCATGCGAACCGCGGTTTCTCTTTCAAGATCGCTCTTTATCCTGCTTTGCTAAAGAAAAAAGTTATTGCGGGAGGAAAAACCCCTTGTGCTTCTGTGCCGAACGTTCCCGACTGTGGATGGGAATTCTCCGGAGCAGATTTCCTGTGGTTGTACAGAAATCAAGCAGCACTCTAGAATGGCTGAGGTTTGATGGGGAGGCTTTGAGGAGGATTCATACTTCCTGCCTTGAAGATACTAGAAGGGAAAAAGAGAAAAGGAAAAGAGAACTGGGCCCTGGTTGCTGCTTGGCTGCGGTTGTGCCTTGGGAGCGGAGGCCGCTCCGGAGGCTCCTCCGGGAGCCGTTGCGGGGAGAGCGCTGGGGATAAGCACAAAGTTCTCATTTTACCTAACGGGCTCCATCCTTTTTTCCTAGGGTATTTTTAGACCTTTGTACCTCTGCCTATCACGAAAGAAGCTTAAAGGAAGGCCAAACCTGAGACCCTGAGTGAATTTTGTTCATTTGGAGGTTCACAGGGTATGAATTTGAGGCTTAGAGAATTGTACTGGGTCATTTTTGAGACTGACTGATATTGAAAATGCATTTGACATTTCTAAGACATTCTGAACATTAGTAATCCCTGGATGCAATGGATCAAGGTTCAGAGACACATAGTAAATTAACTCATACCTGTGCATTCCCACCCAGCGAGTAACAGATATACTTTGTTTATTTGACAGTTTAGAAAATGTTTTCTGTTTTAGTTTTTCCAACATGCCAGTTTATCCACGTGCGTCCTCCTTGAGTAGATGTGTGTGTGTGTGTTTCATAAATTGGAGTTTACAGTCAAAATGATTACCTTGTTTTATGTTACTAGGCCCGATACAAGCAGAGTCTGGACCCCACGGTGGATGAAGTGAAGAAGCTGTGCACGTCCCTGCGCCGGAACGCCAAGGAGGAGCGGGTCCTGTTCCACTACAACGGCCACGGCGTGCCCCGGCCCACGGTGAACGGCGAGATCTGGGTCTTCAACAAGGTGCGTCCCCGCGGGTCGGCGGGCAGAGCACGCGCTGCTTCTCGCTGCCCTGTCACCTCTGGCACAGACTTGTTGGAAAGAACGGCTGAACTTTCAGCATTTCAGCATTCAGCACCTCTCTGGTGGTGCCGCTGCGTGTGACCCGAGCGTCCTTCACTTTCCCATTCGTTAGGCTGTTTAGTGTCTACCAAGGGCAGCTGGTGTAGCCAGCAGTCGTAGGAAATAGAGATCTACTACCAGGAGCTGAAAAGTGCATCTAGAGATGCCAGAGAACTTGCATTCATTATTATAGATTGGCTCCTCTTTTATTTTGGGGGCCTACTGAGCTTCTTTTTTGACTTAGGGTATTGTTTTTGAAATAGAAAATAAAATAGAAAAATCATTCAATGATAATTTGGAAGAGGTGGAGGTAGAAAGGGAGCAAGGACAGGAGGGCATCATTTTATTCTGGTGCATCTGTATTGGAGGCTCGATTAGTATTCAGAGCATCGTTTTAAACAGCTCATTCTGAGGCCGAATTTGGGGTTTCAGAACAAATAGCAGTGACCTTCTCAGTTACCAGCCAGTGGATAATAAATAAGCCAGAAAGAATGCTGGGCAGAAGGTGATACACGTGGAAGAAGAGGAAATTACTGTGCCATGGAGTTTATGTTGTGCCAAATGCTTTATTAAGAACTTACTGGGTGCTTGCCAGTTTTCCTGGAATCTCGGCTGGGGTAAGGTGCCTGAGGACTCCGTTGCTGATTGGGAGCTGCAGTGCCTTTGGTTTGTTTATGAACAGTGGAATAAAAAGATTGTTACAGAATAACAATATATAATCTGATGTATATAACAATGTATAATCTGATACATAGAGAGACCAGAGCCTTGAGGGCTGTGAGCAGCCTGGGGGCTGTCAGCGCCGCGTCTCAGGCTTTGCTTGGTTCAACGAGCTCCAGCTCTGCTGAGTAGACACAGGGGAGCGTGGTGCACTCCGGGTGAGACACTTAACCCTGATAGCCAAATTATAACCTCACTTTTCCCTGCAGACTGCTCTTGAGTTTAATTTCTCCTAGGTTTTGACGTGCTATCCCTGCTCCAGTGCAAGTGCCTTTGTGGGGCTTCATCTTTCGGGGCTCCCTTATGAAGCAGGCCTGTGTTTTTGATACTTAATCTGACAGATAAGGAGAATAGCAATAAATAAATCATGTGATGTTCATCTCTGTTCATTTTATTAGCATTAAAGCCTTTGTAGAAAAAGATGTCCCCCGGCCATGAGAAATGGTGTGGGGAGATGGCTGGTCCTCCTCCTCCTCCAAGGCTCTTTCCCCTTCCTCCTTCCCCACTCCTTGGAAATTTTCAGCTCTGTAACTTCATGGGGTGAGCGACAGTTTTAAAGGAAGCAACATATATTTCAGCTGTAGTTTTTTCCTATCTTAATGGCAGCCGCTGTACTCCAAGAGAGCACGTGCAACTTACCAGGCTTTAGTTTTTTAATTTTTGATTTGCAGCTCAACAAAAAAAATGCTCTTGGACTCTTTGTTAGTGAGATGATTAGACATATAAAAGAACTAGGGACAAATTCCCAAAGGTTCACTGCCACAAAAGCTATTTTCTGAGATTTCTGAGAGATCCATTAGGTTGAGAAATCCCAAGACAGAAGCTGAATACACAAAACCCTCTGAAGAAGCTCTTTAGTGTAGAGAAATTAATGATTATACCCTCTTCAAACACTGTTTCATCTTGGATGAAAACTGGAAAGAGAAATTTCAGCATCCTTTGGCAGGGATGATTATTCTGCCCATTTCCTTTTTCCAGCCTTGCTGTGTCTTTCTCTTGCACAGGAGGCAGCAGCGCAGGCTGCAGCGCGGGGCTCCCTGCGCCCTCCCCATGAGATCCGCTCGCTGCTGCGGGGCTAAGGGCAGCGGCTCTGACGCAACCCCCTGGGGGCCCCCCGG